CGGTAAATTTCAGAAATGCTTGAAATTTCAATATTTTGAAATTTAAGGACGCTAGTTTACATAAAATTTATACACGCCGGCTTATCATGTAGCGGTAGCTTTCGGAAAGGTGGAAAACACATATTTAATACTTGCGCCGGGTATTTGATGTTCGGCTCCGCCCGAACTTAGACTTTCTTACTTGTTAATTAACAAATTATTTTATTTTTATATGCTAATAATTAAATACAAAAGTATACATGAGTGGCATACTAACTAATATGTATGTATGTATATTGTGTATTTGTATATACATAGTATATACGTACATATGTATATATGTACATATATGTAATAAATAAGAAGCCCTAACAGTCATATTGTCTTAATTTTATAACAGTTAAAGGTATTTTGTGGTTGTGCATAGCAAATTACCTACAAATATTTTAAGAGGTTTTTAATTTATGACATTATGACAATATGACTTGCTGTCATCCCTTGTTAATCCCCAAACTATTTTATTAAGTAGAACACTAATTTAGTACCTATCGGATATCATCTACTGAGGTTGAACTCGATATGCAATGCGTATTCACACAAGTAAACAAAGCATATATTCTACGAATAGAAAGCTAATCGTTAATATTGAAACTGACAAAACTGAATTCACTGTCTGACTAAGCGAGAACAAAAATAAAAACTAATACATCAATGCAAATATATAGATGTGTTTGTATCGCATGTATGTGCATACATATACATATGGACATGTGTAGATATATGAAGTGCCAGTGTATATGCACCCTGTAGGAAAATGGAATGTTCGATAATGAACTGACTAATGTAAGGGGGACACATTAGCCGATGCATGGCAGAATGCAGACTTTTTGCACAGGCATGCCCTACGACAGTAAAACGATGGGTGTCCTTTTGTAAATTTATGAATAGAAAATACTCTCGTGCTGCTTTGAAATAACATAGAAAAATTAAATAAGTACATATCGTTACCTTAATATAGAAAGTCCTTAGCTCATATAGTCGCTGAAATGCAAAAAAGCCGTAACTGACTACAATTTTTTATTGCTTAAAATGATGCGGGGACTTATAATTCGATGAAATGCATCATAATCAATTAAAACGAGAATTTTGGATTTTTACTTAGTAATGTCTTTTTATATTTCTGCGACTATGTGAGATAGGGGCTTTCTATATTAAGGTAACGATATGTACATTTATTTATAAAATTTTTTTTTAACGCTTATGACTTCAAACTGCACATCATCCTTTCGATTGGCTGTGAATACAATAATTCCGTGTAATTGCAAGGAATCGGATTAAAATCTTTGGTTATATGTGCATACGTTACCCATTCGCTTACATTGGGATGCATCTTTTCGTTCAATCGTTTTCGTCAAACTTTTCATGGTAGAAAAAGAAATGTATTCCCAATGTTCCCACTGGGTAAGGTTGACCCAAAGGTATACCCGATATATTGGCAATTCGAGTCGGGTGGTGGAGACGGAGTAATGAGAAATTTACTTGTATGTATTTATAAAAACACTGATGGAAATTGTTGTGTATTAGTAACGACGTTGATGATGGTGGTTGCTGTGAGCCCCTCCGTGGCTATTTTACGAGATTCAGAATGTTTCCTTTTTCATTCTCTCTTTCAATCACTGAGAACGAAGCGTGAGCGAATTTTTGCAAATGCACAATCTTGCTTAAAAGCAACAAATCAGACGGCAACCATATCTATGAACTTTTGACTAAACAACTTATGTGATTTTAGAAATTTTAATAAATAAATAAGAAAAAGTAAAGAACTTTCCTACAAAACTTGATAATTTTGATAAGTTTCCATGAAACAGGCATCTTAAGCTACTCTTATGATTGATTCGTAGTAAAAATGTTGCTTGGGAACCCAAAGATTTAATGATTAGCAGAAATACATTCAAAATGCTCAAACTCGACAAATGTTGTTTTGTGAAATGTCCAACGGAATTTACATGTACATACTAGCAAGAGATTTTTTAAGTTTACACTTGCAAATTTTATTCGAATGGCGAATGTGACGCTTGAGTATGCATTTGCACGTACGTACAAACATAGACAATGTTCATACATATGTATGTATATATACATACATATGCGTGCATACGTGCATATAAAATTCTTGCCCATCCATATGCGCCCATGGTATGGTGGTGGGTGGGTTAGAAGCATCTATGATGCTTCGTCAAGGTGGATGATGGTACATACATTATTGCCAACTATTTTTTAAAAATAATGCAAACATAATAACTAACGCCGATATTACATTCCGAAGATATGTATGTAGCTTTTTCAATATTTCACAAACATGTTGTATGGCTTCGATTAAGTAGATACATATTATGCTTAAAAATTATTTTGTTTTGTTTAATTTCTATTCCCTCAATTGATAAATACTTACATATGTATATGTGTGTATGCATGTAGTTCATTTTTTTTCTTCATTACCTGGCAGCTATACATTTCCACCTCTATTCTACGATACTCTGACGGTGTCTCGCTCTTCGAGGCTCTACTGCTTATGTTCTCTCAGCTCTCACTCAGCTAATGTAGCTGCTCGATTGCTATTTTTGTTACTGGATAAGTAACTGTGACGCTAACTTCGCTGGTTTTATATGTTGCTATCTACATATGCACATATGGAGTAGGGGTATTCGTCTAGATATTTAAATTTACGAAACACGCAAATTTAACCCCTCAATTATGAATTTCCATGGTTTCATATTATCCTTTCTATACGGCCAACTGATGCATTATTGTGAACGAGTTTTTGGTAACTTTTTATTGTAAACTAACATAATGCAGCTGTTGTTTCCTCGGATTTAGACATCGATTAGTAATGAGGTACATATAACAGGACGCAAGCGTGCCGAATATTTTTGGTAAAAAATAGTGATGGATAGTATCGATGATTTCATTTTGCTGCCACTATTGAATTTTTCTAAACACTATCGATAGTTGTATGTTATTCACATTGTTGGAATTGGACCAAGGCGAATTCATATAAGGTGGTGTTGCTAGAACAGCTGTTTTATTTCGCCTCGGTACACATACATATGTCAAAACTCCTTATGAGTGAGTGCGGAGGTAAGAATGTTGGCATTTTCTTTCCCTCTTCCTCCTTGAGCGAAGAATAGCTGAAATTTGACATTTTTGTACCGAAAGCGAAAAAATACATGGTAGTTTTTGCATTGGTACTATCGCTACCACCAAGGCGAATTTATACAAGGTGGTGTTACTGGCGAATTTCAAAATGATGTGTTTGTTGTAATATGAAATCGCCATGTTTACAACAAACACATAATTTTGACGTTCAGCAGTACCGCGGCGAAAATCTGAATTCGCCTGTAACAGCACCCTGTATAAATTCGCCTTGGCTATCACGTGATATGATTTCGCCTTGAATTGGACTATAAAAGATACACATACCTACATATGTGCATATGTATGTTGTGAACGCCTTTGTTTGTAAATATGTTCTTTATGGTTTTTATTATAAAATGTGTTATTGAAATGCACGATTTCAATTTGTTTTACACAAGTTATTTTTATGTATGCAAATAATCTTTATTGTTCTTGTAGTTACGAAATGGGTTATTTAAGAATAAGATTTCTTCCTGGTTGTTGTTGTCTGATATAGTAAAAGAAGAAACAGAGTAATTTACAGGCGATGGGATCTGTCATATCACTTGTCAAATTCTTCTTGGACCATAAAAAATTGAATCAAATTTGCCTATTTACAAAATGTTATGCCCAGTTTCACCAATAACTTTTAAATTTGTCAGGCCGTTATAGTTTAAAATGACCACATTTTTTAGGAAACTGTGCTATTTTAAATTTTAAGTTGGATACATTTTAAAATGGTTTGGTGAAACCGGGCATTAGTGTTATATCTCAACATACATATGGAAGAAAGCTTTCGATATTATGGATAGTATCGAATATTTTGCACTATCACTATCGAAACAATCGAATGTATCTACTACCGATAACTTTTCAACACTAAATGATGTTAAGTTGGATTTAAACATTTGTAACTCGTTTACACTTGTTTTGATTTTACCGCATTGTTCACACACTGAATTGATCTCTTAATTTTTCGCGATTTGTGTAAACGACTTCTCATACAAATTTTCATAGATTATTTACGAGACGTTTACTCGTTTAGATGAATACCCTGACTATACATGTGTATGTATTTATGTATATACAGGCCTAGGGTTGCAAATTTGACCACAATTTTCAGTGGGGAGCCCTGTAAGAAATCATAACGAAGACAGGCTACGATGTACATATAAATATGTACCCTGCAGGAAATGGGACTAGTTTGTTGTAGCCACATAACTATTAACTAACTAGCATTCGACTAGTGGTAACTATTTACTATTTCCTTTGGCCGTAACTAACTACCTTTGAAGGGGGATGGCCGCAAAATAGTGAGAACTGGTTTCCTCTGCAACTAAATTGTAGCTAACTACTTTTGGACATAAGTACCAATAAGAAAATTTTTTTTTTGCTTTTTTTACGCTTTTATTTATTTTTTTTTTTACTTTATTTTATTACATTTCATATTTCTTTATATATTCTGCTGTAGGTGGTCCGATATTCGAACGCCGTCAGATATAACTTCAAAATGATAATGTAAAATTTCGATCTTCCTTTATTTGTCCTGAATACGAAAAAGAATCTGCGAAGTTCAGAAAAAAATGTATTGAAAGTAATTTTTGTGTGGATATTTAAATAGAAACTTGTAAAGAAAACAAACTCCCGCTAACATCTGCACGACTCTTGGACGACTTTACAACTAACTTAAAGTTAGTTTTGTCATAGCTAATTAAAAGTTAGTTATTTATCAAACTCCCCCAAAAAAAGCTAACTAGTAGTTAGTTATTTTAATCAATTTATAATTTTTTTCTGCAGGGTATGTTCAGTATAAAATGAAATTGTTTGCCCCTAATGTTTATTTATAATTTTTAAAATTTTTCAATTAAAATACATTTCATTCGCTAACAAATACTAAGCTTAAAACTTTGTAGAACACTTCAAAAAGTGCATCAAAATTTCACCCAAATTTCTTTCTGTTTTCTCGGAAGCTCTAAATTTTTTCGAGTATGTATACAGTTTCGTAGCCCATTCAATTTTAGTGTAATAGCCCAATTCTGTGTCGGTGACACAATTTTTATTTTTTTTGACTGACAAACTTAAACTTTTCTATATATTTTTCCGTAATAAAAACTGACAAGATTTTGTCAGAGATACAGAATAGAGCCGTAGTAATGTGCAAGTTTCAAGTGGCTTAAAATTACCTTAGATTTTTTAGATTTTTTTTTTGTCTGAAGCGTTGCGGTGCTCTTCCATATAAAAATAAATTACGTTTATTCGTTATATGGAAGCAAATGCGACAAAAAAAATTCTAAAAAACCAACGGTTAGCAACTGGAAACTTGCACATTATTACAATTAAATTGTATGGGCTAAAAAAATGTACACTCTGAAAAAATATGAAATTTTGATGAAAATTGGTCGCATTTCTTCAAAGTTTTAAACTTTGGGTTTTTTTAGAGAATGAACAATTTTTAATTGAAAAATCTTAAACATACACATATAAATAAATAAACAGCCGATTGTTAGAACAAAACCGAACGTTCGGCTGAATGCTCGGCTTCGGAAAAAAGAACAACCGAAGTTTATGCAAATTTAACACTTATTTTAAAGTTTAAACTCAGGGCTACTATGACAACGAAAGGTGTTCTATCCCGTGTGAGCCGAAAAAATTCGGATCCCGCGCGGTTCAAGTTCTGATAGGTTTCACCGTATATTATGTACTTACAGTGGTGGAAGAAATAATATAAACCAGTTTCGGTTACACATATTTCTTTTGTTTATTTAATGTTTATTATTTTTTTCATAAAAGTCTTGCTCATTATATAACAAATACCATATAAATCGGCAAACATTAAATTCGCGCATTAAATTCTAGTTGGCTATTAAAGCAGTCCAAGAGCCAGCAAGTGCTACGCAAGATGTAAATCAGTCCTCAGGCTAAAGGGGGTGTAAAAAATATATTAAAAGCATAATATATATTAATAATGCAATTTTAATACGCTCTTCTTCCCCCTTATGCTGTGCCAAGCCGGCCCCATCTTTGTTCTAGTATAATAAAGTGCAAAGTATATTCGACAATTTTTTTTAAGAAAAAAATATAAATTTTTAAAAATCAACGTTTTTTTGTTAGCAACTTCAAACTTTCATTTTATTGTACTAGAATTTAATGGGCTAGAGAACTGCATACCAGAGTTGTGAAAAATGCATTAATTTTTAATAGCCAATTTAACAGCACATGTACACTAGGGTGCCCATCGAAAATGTTTTTTTTTGGAAATCTCAAGACCCTACGCCCTAATTTTATTCGGTTTTATGAGAAATATTATTGCCTATTTTTAAAGATTTTTTAAAGGTCATTTAGAGGTCGCGACCTGTCGATTTAAGTCAGAAAACAGGATTTTGTAGATTTATGAGTTTTTGAATGTCTATTTTCAATTCGATTTTAAATATCTAATATTATCTGAGAAGAGGATATATAGCCTTTTAAAATGGTATATAATAATCTATTGTCGGACTAGGCTTGTTGGCATTTTTTACCGGGCAAAGTAAAAAAGACCCATATTTATCTTAATTTTTTAAATTTTGACCATCGATAATTTTTACGATTCCAAAATATGGAGTACTATCTAAAATTAAATATATTTTCAAATAAACTGATACACCTCATTTATTGCAATCGCATAAAAATTGTCGAAGTTAGACGACTTTTCTTAAATACGGCCTTTATATGTGTGTATGTACCGGATTGATATATATGTACAATCGCTCTTTAGCAAAAAAGTGGTTTTTCAAACCACCACCCCCATTTTCCTAAAATTTCTTGAAAACCCACTATTTTTACTAAAGAGCGATTATATATATCAATTTTGAATAAATATTTATGAAGTCCTTTGCCACACTGCTCAAAAAAATCTGAAATTCTGGTACATACACACATATAAATTTAAGGCCGGAGTTAAGAAAAATCGCCTAACTTCGACAATTTTTATGCGATTGCAATAAATGAGGTATCAGTTTATTTGAAAATAGATTTAATTTTAGATAGTAGTCCATATTTTGAAATTGTAGAAATTATCGGTGGTCGAATTTTAAAAAATTAAGAGAAATCTGGGTTTTTTTTTTTATTTACCCGATAAAAAATCCCAACACGCCTAGTCCGACAGTAGATTATTATATACCATTTTAAAGGGCTATATGTATATCCTCTTCTCAGATCATATTCGATCTTTGAAATCGAATCAAAAATAGTCATCCAAAAACCCATAAATCAACAAAATCCTATTTTCTGACTTAATCGACAGGTCCCGACCTCTAAATGACCTTTAAAAAATCTATAAAAATAGGCAGTAATATTTCTTATAAAAACGAATAAAATTAGGGGTAGGAGGGTCTTGAAATTTCCAAAAAAAAAATCATTTCCGATGGGCACCCTAATGAAGACCTATTCTGATCTAAATCAATCAATATTTGTATTTAAAATCCTCGTCTTCGAGCGGTTCAAAAACAGTAAATTCGGAGTTGGAATGCTTTCATCCCCTAGGATATAGAAAAAAAGTATACCCCATTTTTATTTTTTTTTTTTTTGAAATCAAAAAATATTTGGAGGTCGCTCAAAGCGCTAAGTTTTCTATGTATTTTTACTTGAGAAAAAAACAATTTTTCGTAGCAATGGTGTAGATTTCTTGAAAATCAATATTTTTCGACCGGAAAACTCTGGTTATCATCAGGAGACTTTCAGTAATAACACCCAATTGCTTATTTAAGCATTTTTAATACTAACGATTTTTTATTGGTCTCCCCATTGCATTTTTCGGGGTTTTTGTGGGTTATTGGCGGACCTATAAATTATAGTTGCGATGAAAAAATGATTAAATAAACAACTGGGAATCTCCTGCAGATAAACATAGTTTTCCGATAGAAAAGTATTGATTTTTAAGAATTCTATACCATTTCTACGAAAAGTTGTTTTTCCCCCATATAAAATACATGGAAAACTTTGCGCGCTTTGAACGACCTCTAAATATTTTTTGATTAAAAAAAAAAACTAAAGTGGGGTATATTTTTTTCGGTATAGAATAAGGGGGTGAGGGGGTGGTACAGAAACAAGGGAGTGAGGGCATAAAAATTCCGACTTTACTTTTTCACATGAATTTTTGGACCACCTTAATGTACAGTATGGCGACCAATAACTGTTACCCCGTTTTTTTTTTAGAAATAAAAGGGTCCTTTTAGATTTTGCGAAAAAAGTATTTATTGTTAATTTTCCACAGATTTTACTTTAGTTGTATTAATTAGTTTATAAATTTTAATCCTTATTTACATTTGCCAGCAGTGTAAACTTTGAGAGAAAAGTTCATTTGGCACGCAACTCTTTTTCAGGTGTATTTTTTCTTAGGCTTTGCATAAAAAAGACAAAAAAAAACTGTATAGGCTTGGTCGAATGAATGGCCCTCCTAGTCACCAGTTCCGAGTCTATTAGATTTTTGAGTATGAGGCCTTATGTTGGACAAAAGGGGGGTTATAAGGGACTCAAAACGGAGAAAATTAGCCTTACAGGAGATATGGAATAAATTAACTGACGAAGATCTGCGTGCCAAATGAACTTTTCTCTCAAAATTTACACTGCTGGCAAATGTAAATAAGGATTAAAATTTAAAAACTAATTAATACAACTAAAGTAAAATCTGTGGAAAATTAACAATAAAATGCCTTTTTCGAAAAATCTGTATAGGATCCTTTTATTTCTCAAAAAAACCTGGGTAACAGTTATTAGAAAAATAAAAATTTCCAAAACACTGCACCAATTTTCAACTGTTGATTAAAAAAAAAACTATTTGGAATCAACAAAAATTACACAGTGTACTGTTCGACTACAAAACTCGGCGCTGCCTGAATATCATTGAAAAATATTAATGTTGGTAAATTCGGTGCCCATTTGAGGAAGCCTTACCAACATCAACATTAAACTGTACAATGTTTGACTCTGAAGAATTAATGATGTTAACAACAGGGCCCTGTCACACGGTCAGTAATTCTCACGATATTGGATCGCGATCCATATTGATGGATTGATGGATCGCGCTTGAATGCTACATGTTCAATATTTATCGCATCAGTATTTGCATAAGTTTTGTGCGAAACGCTTATTATATCGCAATTATTTTATACGAATAATTGACAGATAACGCATTTCATAATTATTTTCAAATTTCCAACGCTAATTTAAATACCTTCAATTTGTTTTGAAAGGTTTTAAGCGCCGAGAGCGAAGGTAGAGCGAATATGTTTTCGATTTTCACATTATGAGAGTACAAGATGTATTGACGAAATATATGAATCGCGTTTTGTAAAAGCTACACCTTCAATATTTATTGACGGTATTGCGATCCGCGATCCAGATTTCCAAATTTGTGGAAATTTTGCGATATGGATCAAGGTCCATCAATATTGTATGCTACACAGTCAATAAATATCGCGCTACTTGGATCACGTCAGTAAATACTGACCGTTAGACAAGGCCCTTAACCTACCGATACCATTGCAAAAAATTTGGTTTTTTTTTGCCTGGGTTGGAGCAAGAACA